CTGAGTGCTAAGGGCTCTAGAAGTAAGAGCCATGTACAGACTCTCACATTGATGATGATCATTTAAAAAATCTAATTATTTTAAATCAATCTTGTGATTTTTGAACATTTGACGTTGGGAGTATTGGAAAGAGTATCTCCATCTGCCTTCAGTGAGCTGGATTTTTTTAAAGCTTTATTTGTTTATTTACTTTCACATTTCTTTACACTGTTACCTTAAAATACACACAGGCTTTGTACATAATGGGGATCCTCCAGTACCGGGGCTGTATACAAGGAGGAGGAGCGGGGTGGTCCACAGATCTGTTTGCAGGAAAGGTTAGGGTGTTCTGATGTTGAGTTTTGTTTCTTTTTTTTTCTCTTTAAACAGCAATTTGACTTTTTGAATCATTTAAAATTAAACTTAAGCTTCTGCATGTGTCTGTTAAGAATTATGCCGGGGGGGAAGGGGGAGAGTGGTGGGACTCAGGGCTGGGTTTGGCATTTGTTTGAAGATGTAAAGTTTGGCACAGTATCAAAACCTTAAAGCACAGAGAGAAACTCCATGCAAACATGTTTACTTCTAATTTGTTTTTAAAGTTGGGGAATTTGCACTCCCTTTTCCCATGTTTTCCAGAGGAGGAAAACCCCATCTTTCGCAGTGTAACTCAGACAGGATGACTAGAGCAGCAGCCGCAGGCCCCGACTTAGTGAACAGGTTGAAATATCAGCTCTTGCCACAGTCCCACGACCACACTGGCCATGCCAGCAGTTGGAAGTCACCACTGCCTTGGGCACCCACCTGTCCTTGTTATGCCTCTGCCATCCTTACGTCACAACTCCTTGGAAGTTCGATTTCCTCTGTTTGGAGGTCTGCACTGGTATCCCTATATCTGTGTTTGAGTGGTTGCATGAATGGTGTAGAGAAGGTCTGACTCTTCATATAGGATGACCACCCATCTCTAATTGGGTGGGACAGTCCCAGAATGGGATTATCGGGTCCCAGTCCTGGGCCGCATGACTCTGGGACAGCACTTGTCCTGGATTCCCGGTATCATCCAGTTTTCCATTCGCCGTGGCAAAACACAGGAAACGGTGGGTTTCCCCTTGCAGGCTGGCAGAGTTTCAGCCTGCAAGGGGCTGCTTGGGGCTGGGGGGTGTGCACCACGTGCATGTGCACACGCACACACATGCACGTGGCTGGGAATACAGCCCCAAGCTGTGGTGGAGAGGAGCTCCCCCAGCTGCCTGCAGGTAAATCGAGGGGGCGGGGGGCAGATGGAGGCCCCCAAGGTGAGGGAAGGAGTAGGGCAGGGTTGGCGGCTCAGGCTGGGGGCGCTGCCCAGTTGGGGTGGTGCATGGGGCCTGGGGCAGGAATGTGCAGCTGCAGGGCCTGGCCAGGGAGTGAGAGCCATGGGTGGCTTGTCCAGTGGGCCAGGGTGGGGGCAGCTCCCCACTGCTCCATGCACTCCTGAGGAGTGGGGCATAGGGGGCATGTGCCCCTTCCCCAGATTTATGTGTGGGGTGGAGGAGGATGTGGGTTCAAGGCTACCCCCAGGAGCCCTGTGCTGGCTATACTGCCATGGTGAGGTGCCCCCTGCCTGCCTGGCTCCCAGGCCCAATATCCAGAGCCCCCCAGGGGGAGGGCAGAAGGCAGGGATCCCTAACCCCACAGTGGGCAGCCTGCACCCTCTCCCTCCCCTCACTGGCTGTGCTGCAGAAGGAGCGGGGGCCATGGGGAGGCAGGTATGTGTCCCACCTTCCAGTTTGAAAAACGTGGTCACCCTATCTTCATGTGTCATGTATTGGCTATCCCGTGCTTGATTCAAACCAACAGTGAGGAGTTGTCCTCCCCTAAAAGCTGGGATTCTAATTCTGGCATAGATCACTGGGTTTACATAGAGATTACCTAGATTACATTAGTGAGCAGTATTTGATATCCTTCTTAATTAACTGGTTTAAAACAGGGATAGGGAATAAAAATGAAGGAAAAAAAGATATGTTAAGCAGCTTGCATCACCAATGACATGAGGCCTCCAAGATGGACTCAAAGGATGAGAGTAGTACAGCAAGAAGAGGGAGCACCAGGGAGAGATGCTAATTTATTCTATGCATAACTCTCCTCTGGCTTCCATGTGGCATGAAAGCAGAGTTGGTGACTTCAGATGTTACTCAGAGCACATGAAAAATGGAGGTGCCTTGCAGCCCAGCTCAGCATGGACCATAACGGGGAGGTGAAATTTCACCAGCAATTCCAGAGACTGGGTCAGGGCCCGAGTCCAGGGGGATGATCAGAGGAAAAACAAATACCACAGAGTAGAGCTGGAAAGTTGTCAAATGCTTTCCTCAAACACTGACACCTTGCGGCTAGTCCAATTATTTATTACACACGAATTATGCAGCACATACAGCACTGTTTTTGGTTTGTCAGTTGTTTATGAGCTGAGCTGGATTTCTGCAAATTAGCTGTTTATTAGTAGTATATGAGCACTTTTTCAGCCTGGGAGGTATTTGCTTTCTGTTATTCTCTGTGATCAGTAGCTTAGTAGCTTATTCAACTGGTTTTATTTTTGCTTTCTAGTTGAATGATTGAAACTTTTCTAGCTGGAGAATGATTAATGGAAACAAGTTATAATGGATAATACATAATGGATAGCAAGAATCTTTATTCCCAGAGGGCTGCTCATCGAATATGCTAAATATGGTACTTGTACAAAGAAAAGCTACACCCCAAACACTCCTGGACCAAAATCTGTAAGTGTGAATTGATCTGAGAAACACGTGGAATGTTTTGAATTAAGTAGCTGGTTTGAATATGTATTAATATCCAAAAACATGGTTGGCTTTGTTTTTGTATTGTTTTGGTTTTTTGCAGTATTTGACAAATTCTGCTATGAAGTTAGGTCTAGGGAATTCAGGCAGGGGAGAAAGATTCATGATTTCCTGGGCTGATCTTTCATTGTCTCTTCCTGGACTTCTGGGTTTAAAGGTTCCCTTTTCTCTCCTGCTTTTTACTGTGGGTTTTTTTGTTGTTGTTGGATGCTTTGTAGATGGGGTGTGCATGAGGGGCCAGTGCAGGCTGTCTGGTGGCTCTTTTTTTGAAATATTGATTGCTTGCAAACATAGAAAACTGGATTTTGGCCCAGGAGGTCCCTTTTAAGTCCTATGTTCCTAACGTCTGTTAGATAGCGATGACAGACTTTACTGTGAGTTAAAGGGTGAGGGGCTGAGGAAGGCAGGGAGCAGAAGTTACCAAAGGAATTGCTCTGTGGAAAGATCTTTCAGGAATGCAGAGTCCTACATCTAGACTGGCTCACGAGCTACACGGACAGCCAATATTCACCAAAGAGCCACAATGGCACAGACACGTCTGCATGAAATGTGGCAAACAGTCCCATTGGACAGAAAGAATTACAGTGCATCGTATAGGGATTTCCAGCAGACATGGTGACACAGTGGTTTGCAGCATAACAGATGTAGGTATAAAATGCAACACACAGAGTAAAAAATGAACATTGATAAGGTTTTTTGTAGAGAGAAGCAGGAAGGGAGTTGAGCTGCTTGTGACCTGGTGGCTGTGGTCTGAGTACTACTGATTCTAGAAGATGGTAGATTGCAAAGTGAGGAGGGGTCTTCATGACTCTCTATTCTGATTTTCTGCCTGATACAGGCCATATGATTTAACCGAGAAATCCTGTAGGGGCTTCTTCTTTTGCTCCAGGAAATGGAACCTATTGTAGCTTGGTCCAGTACAAATCATAGTGATGAGGAGAATCTCCCAAGGGGACTAGGTAGCTGCTGCTGAGGGCTCAGGGGTTTTGTACTAGGATGATTTTGCCCTTGTCCTGCCTGTACTCGGCTATCAGCTGCCTGTATGATTTTGCACTTGTCCTGCCTGTACTCGGCTATCAGCTGCCTGCTCTGTGTACGAACAGTGCGAGAGAAAATATTGGCAAGAACCTGGTGTTTTTGTTTCTGAAAATAACCTGTCCCAGCTGCAGCATTCCCTACCCCCTCTGCTCAAGGCCGCGGTGCTTTTCAGGGGTACTCCGGGTGTGAAGTAAGCTGTTGGACAGGCTGAGCCAGGCTCAGTTTGGAGGCAGCCACAGGGGGCCAAACAGTCTACTCTGCTGCAAAGACTCCTCTTGGCTTGGCGGGTGACTTCAGCCTGGGGCTGGCATGACTTTAGGAAGTGCTTTTTAGGAGGAGGAATGAAACTCATTCCTTGCCCCCCAGCCTGCTTCCTTCAAGCCGATGCCCCGTAGCTTGGGGAACGCAGGCAAGAACTGTTGCCAGTTTCCCAAGCTCTGCACAGCCCGGGAACAGCAGGCTTGGACCAGGGTGCAAGTCTCATAGTTAGCTAGCTTTTATTTTTCTAATAAGCCCATTGAAACCCCCTGTGCGCTGGAGAGGTTCAGCTGTGGGTGGATCCAGACCCAAACCTTGAGGCTCAGGACACCTTCTCTGCTTTCCACTATAGAAGCTGCAAAATAGCTAAAGCCCATCCTCTCCCACTGCCTTTGCACTGGCAAGCTGCTTTGGTTTAACAGCAGAGGGAATTGGATAACTACTGCAGTCCCATGCTGGCAGCACAGCATGTCTGTGCAAGCCGGGCACCTGGCGCAGGGGTCAAGGCACCTTGAAGGCAGTGTTGCTTTTTGAGTGCAGCATCCCTGAGACAGGCAAGGCATCAGCTCAAGAAGCAGGCAAGGCTGGGTAAGGTGTCAGGGCAAGGAGACAGGTGCATCTCCTGTGCTGCCCTCACTCTGCCCATGGAGATGCATCCTTTTCTCCTTGAGCTGGTTTGCCAGCTTCTCCCTCTCTTGCTCATGGTTCATTTCTCCCTCTCTTGCTCTTGAACTCCCCTTTCCTTGGAGATGAGCCCCTTCCCCCCTCCTCCACATACCTTCCATGATGTCAGCACTGGGGGAGGAGGCAAGCTGCGACCAAATATAGAGGCAGCTTCCTGCTTTGCAATTTTTTTTAATCCCTTCCCTCCTGACCCACCCTCCTGCAGCAATCAATGAGAAGGCAGCAAAGGGGGAAACGGGCATCGGGTTTGCTGAAGCATTTTACTAGTAAAAGCAGGGGCTATTGTGCTTCTCCTCCAGGCTGCTGGGAGATGAATGGCAGGAGGCAGCACAAAGACACTATGCCATGGGAGGGCTCAGCCGCCTGAATGCCAGCCTGGGACCCTGACTGCACATGGATCAGCCAACGGAGCAATAAGGCGGGCGTGTAGGGGCGGACTGCAGGACTTCTTGCTGTGTCTTGCCATTCCCTGAGCGTTATGGGCAGAGGCTTTGTGCAATGAATGCTTCCCCCAGAGCTTTTCTCCCAGCGAATATGGGCACGGCTGTATCCAAAAGGAAGAGTCTGAGGAATGATGCTATGTCTTCTGTAGCAGCGAAAGTTAGGTGAGTGATGCGTGTGGTTGGCATAAGTTCACGGCCAAGGTGGGAATAAAACAGTTGCTCCAGAGGGCGATGCTGGGGAGAAGGCAAGGGCTTACTCCAGGGAAATGTCAGTGCCCAGGTATGGGGTGTGTGGGCTCAACATTGGGTTATTTGCATTACAATGCCAGCAATAAAGAAATCTGTGCAGCTCCAGAGGGGAGGGCGTGCGTGTGGCACAATGAGATTCGGTATTGCAGGCTTCTGCCTCCCCCTCTTTCTTTCTCCTGAAAGCTACCGGTCTGAGGGCTGGATGAAAGTGCAAGCATTTTAGATGTCGCATCACATTAGTTTAGTTCGTGGAGATCCTACCTAGCCTGCAAAATCAACCAGGTTTGTGTGTGTGTGATGCTGGTTTCCTTGTTCCCTTTATGCTCTTGCTAACCTGCAGGCTCCAGTGCCTGAATGCTGCTTATTTATTTTTAGTGTTATTATTATTGCTTTCCAGTGGGTTTAAATAGCAGATGACATGAGGTGAGAAGAACCGGCTGCCTGGTGGAAGGCCTGGCTAAAAAAAAAAGAAGCCACTCTTGGCAAAACCTAGACAAACCCCATTTAATGATCATGACATTGATTGTACCTGGATTGGCAATCTGGAAATCACATTTGATACCTGAGCTGCACATTTAGATTGGCACAACTTATGTTCCCCAGAAGCAGCCCGCTTTTGGAGTGCCCTTTTGTTACTGTGCGTGTGACCGAGCAGCTCCGAAATTAATGGTCAGTGCAGTTGACACTGCATCTAGTATGTGTGCACTAAGCAAGCAGAAACAGCAGAAAGCCATCTGCCTCTGGTATCTCAGAGCAATCCTTCTATCAGGGCTTGTGTTAATGGCCACCTAGAGCAGGAGCATTTTTCAGCAGAAACTACAGGGTATCTATACATTCAGGAAACTGCTGCCATGTACAATACGTATAGTTGTTTGGGCCATATTTGACACGTTAGCCATATTTGCTTATCCGGTGGAAAATAGATAGTTTGTTCCTAGGTATCTGACATGTCAGCATGTAAGACCTTACCGGGCTGGGGCATTCTCCTAAGCCCACTGTAGCTGTTTGCAAATGAGAAACCTTCAAAAAGTTACAGGGTAGTTCAGAACTGAGGATCCCACGCAGCACATATGCCCCAGCTCTGCCGGCATCATCCAGTGTTTTTGCTTCGTATTTCCCTTGCCAAAAGCAAGCATGGTAAGGCAGGGTCTCATGTTTTAACAAGCTGTTCAGGAGGGCATTAATCAGGCATGGGTCTTATTAATCCTTGTAAATGCCTAGTACTCTGAGTTTGCCTGGTTTGCCTTATAATTTATAAAGGCTTAAAGCTCCCCTGCACAGCTGATCTCAAGGCTGATAGGAGCTGTCTTGGTGGGGTGATCTTCTAGGAGTGATCTTTTGTTTCCCCCTCTTCTAAAAGGCTATTGCGTGAAAGACCAAACTTCCATACTTCTATGTCTTGAGGTACCCCAGCCCCTTATATTTACCCATATGAAGGTTGTTTTTCATGTTATTTGGTCCCTTCTATAGTATTTTGGTATATTGCCCATCTGTGTCACCTTTTAATGTCCTGCTTTAGACTGACTACTGAGTATTCACTATAGACATAGCAGTAACAGGCTCCCTCTCTACTGTGCAGGCAGCAGAGCCCGGGTGCTTCAGAGGCATTCACTTCATAGTGGTTATTTGACTGATATCACATGGATAACGATAATAGGAATAGGTCTTTTAGTTGCCCTGATTGCTACTCCCAGGTTAGCCATTCATCTCTAGGAGACTGGAGGAAATCAAGTTTCCAAGAGCAGTCCGTGGAAGCTGTTTCTGTTGGGGAAAAATTATCTGCAGGATCCAGAGTTCTTTGTAGGATGCAATCAGTGTTGCTTTGACATAGATTTCAAGCAGTCAGTCCCACTGAAGCTGTAACACACAGCATTGAAAACCCTAGTGGAGCAAGAGAAGAAGCAATGATATTGTTAGAGAAGGACAATGGAAAAGGCAAGATATTTCAGGTTGTTTGAGTTTTACAAAAGTCCATCTGTCAGGACTTGCAGTACAACAACTTGCAGGGGTTTTAGAAAACCTGGAACTTTCAGATGATGAGACTAGTGTGCTTTGGGACATTGTGAATATTTCCATATTGCATGAAGATGGCATATTACATGAAGGTGGCTAAAGAGGCTTCAGCAGTGAATTTATGGAGAGGACAGAAGCTTGTCACAGATGTTTTTAATTGAGGTGTAGGAATCTGAACTTTTGTCCACGGGATTAGAAAGCTAGGCACAAAATGAATATGTTGCACAATAACTGTTCAAACAACAGCATGGATTTTTGACATACGGTTAATGCTGGGCACGTGGGCACATCATTTTAGGTGCGCAGGGTATGACCTCATACACAGCTAAGGCAGGGATAACACTAACACACAGCGTGAAATCCAGGAATTATCCCGGGGGTCTGGGACCGAAGTTCAATAAACTAAATCAGTTAAGTCTGCTATTATGTCCATCCAGATAGATCTTAAATTGGTTTCAGCCATTTTGAAAGCAGTTTACGTGTACTGAACATCTGTTGCGTTACAGATGTGAACCAGTTTCCGATTCCTTGCATTGGTTTAAGTGTAATTTCTGTCCCTAGCCAGGAGGTCTTGGTCACTTTTGTGTAGGCTGTACAGCAGTGGTTTTCAATGTTTTTTGTACCAGGACCCATTTATAAACATCAATGGCCAGTCCCGACCCAGTGATCCTCACTCCTGAGCTGCTGCCCCCAGTTCCCAGCCCCTCAGTGTGTGGGGCATGGGGGGCCCCAAGCAGCCCCTCACAGGCTGGACCTCTGCCAGCCTGTAAGAGAAAATCCATGGTTTCCCAAATTTTTCTCCTTTAAAGGAAAACCCATTTTAAAAGTCTGATCCATTTTGTAAATTTGTTCGTGACCCTATCATATATTCTTGTGACCCACTTTTTGGCTTACGACCCATGGGTTGAGAAACACTGCTGTAGAGTTATCACAAGAACCTGTTGTGATTTTTATGTAGGAACTCGAAGGTGTCTCTTGGTCAGTTTTGGTTCAGCTGCTGGGATCGGGGGCATTGCTGAGTGGACCAGGGCTGGGGGAGCTGTGAGTCCCCTCTGGGGGTTTAGTCGGTCAGGTCACAGAACCAGCTGAATGCTCTTATCTCTGGATGCTTGCTAGCTCTTGATGCAGAAAAACCAAACTGAAGGTGTTTATGCATGGAAGGGAGGGCAGAAAAATCTCATGAAATTGCTCTCCAGAGTTCTTCCTTAATTGTTCATTTGGGGGGTGGAGAGGGACCAGTGGGTACCTATCCATAGCAGACCATGTGAGGGACCATGCGTTGCAATACTGGCCCTGTGATCCCAACGGCTCCGGGTGGCAGTGCAACGGGGTATGCATCCAGTGAGTTGTCCCAGGACTTCTGCAGCATGGGGAGGGTCCTGGAAGGGATGACTCAGCTTCTGATTGCACTGAAGTCTGACAGCTTTGCCACAGGGCTTTTAGGGGGGTGTGAACAGCTCCATCCCTGGCCCTCCTCCATTTGCCTTCTTGGCGAGACCCTGTTGAGCTGTGTAGGAGGCTCTGCGGGAGGGAAACAGTCTCATGAAGGGGAATTAATTTGTCGTCACCACAGAAAGCTACCTTTGGGTATATTGGCCTGGTGTTCTGATCCCTTGTGTTTTCGCGTAGGCAGTCGTGGACCCATGCTGCAGAGCAAAAGGCCCGGTAATTCTTTTGTTGCAAATGCCAAGCTGTTTCCCTTTTAGATTTCATCTAGCAATTTTTAACATGAAGAAAAGCTGTCCTCTAATTTGGTGCCCATTAGATTGGCTGCTTGGAGCTCTGTGGAGCTGAGCTGTGTGTATATGTAACACCTGAGTAAGGGCCAGCATTTGTTTACTATTGTGTGACAAGCGCACAAATGTGGTCTAAGCAACAGGTACACATTGCCTAGAATCCCAGGGCCTTATGTTTAAATCCCAGCTGGTTTAACTCAGCCCTTTGGCTTTCCCAGGTGAATTAATTAAATTCCACATGGTTTGTTGTGTGTTGGATATTGTAACAAGTCTTAAAAAAAATTACAGCCGTAACTCCCCTTCAAGAACATTACTGGCACTTGCAGAAGAACTGGGGTTTGTTCTACCATGCTTGGTCCTAGTTACCTGCTTTTCTTCTGATACAGTTGAAGTGTGTACTGGTCAGGTGTTGCCTCCACTCCGGGAATGGTTATGTTTCTGTGCTGTTGCCCTGCTTGTGGCTTTCAAGTTCTTTAAAAGCCCAATAAATGTAAATCTCAGTGTCTGTTTAAGAGCGCTGGGAGATTAAGTCTTCCCATCCTGTGACTTGATGTCTCCCATGCTATGTCTTGTGGCCCTTCAGCACATCTGCTGTGCAGCAAGAAACCTTGTGCCACAGCCTAGGTAGAGCTCCCCTAGGCATTTTCCAGGGCGCTGTCTTTGAGATTCCTACCTGCTTTTAAGATTCCTGTAGTCTTGAGTTAGCTCCAGCACTTCCTCTTTCCTCGACCACTCTGGCACATTTCTTAGGTGTAGGCTGTGTGTTCCTGTCTCGGGGACCTGGGACCTTGCAGCCCACTTCTCCTAGGCCCCCATGACCAGTACTGATCCCCAGGCACCACGCTAGTTGGGGCACACCCATTCCCAGAGCCCTACCTTGTGTGTAGTCTGACTTACAGACACCTGGGCTTTGCAAACAGTCCCCAAACCCAATCACTCTTTACTTCACCCAGCACAAGGAATCTACAGATCTTGACAAAACAGTAAAGCATCAGTATGCATTTCCTTGCCTTAGTTTCCCTGCTGCTCTGGAGCAATCTTTGGGTTTAAGTCATAATCTTCAAAGAACTTTAATATCCATTCCCCACGCCTTCTGTTCCTTTCTCTTGTCTAAACTTATTTTATCTCTGTGATTACCGCTGAGTTTTGCTTAGTCCCTCAGGT